AGCACTATTATATCGGAATGTTACGCGCCAGCGGGTGTGTGCCATGTGTGTGTGTGTGATTATGTGCGTCCTTGTGTGTGCCGGGGTGTGTGCTGTGTGTGTGTGTGCATGGTGCGGCCGCGCATGCTGTTTGTGTGCGTGCGTGCCACTCGTGCGTGCGTGCTGCGTGCCAGTGCGTGCTGTGTGTGGTGCTGCTCTGCGTGCGCTGGTGCGATTGTGTGTGTGTGTGCGTGTGGGCACGCGTCTGCGTGCGTGCGGTGCGTGCGTGCGTGCGTGTACACACGCGCAACACTCGCGCCCGCGCTACAATGTACAACATTGCTATTAACGTTACACACTGCCGCGTCCGTTGGGAAACACGCGTGGCGACACCGCTACCCGCTCAGGCAAGCACTGAGAGGTCCCGCGCGCACTGTGTTGCCTATTAGTAACAGAATACACTGGAGCAGCAGTTCGGCGCGCGTTGTGCGTGCGTGCGCACAGCTAGGCGCTAGGCGAGCGCCACGGGCTGCAGCGTACGCATACACCGCCCAGCCTTCAAAACCAACGCGCGCGCCCTGGAAATAAGTGCCAAAAAGTTCAACACCGACGTTTCGCCGAAGATAACCAGAAAAAGATCGCCCTATGATTAACAAATATGTTTAACGTGGGCCACGGCAAAGCGCTTACCAGTTTGTTGCCTTTCTCTCTCAGCTCGTTTCTCTCTCTTCTTCTCTCTTCTCTCTCTCTCTCTCTGCTCTCTTCGCCTACCTTCTCTCTCTCTCTCCCCCCCCTTCTCTCTCTACCCCCTGCTCTCTCTCTCCTCTTCCCTCTCATCTCGCTCTCTGTCTCTCTCTCTCTCTTCTAACTCCCTCGCCCTCTCTGCTTCTCCCTGTCCCTCTCTCTCTCTCCCTTCTCTCTTTCTCACTCTCTCATCTCTCTCTCTCTCCCTCTCTCTTTCCCCCTCTCTCTCTCCTGTCTCTCCCTCTCTCTCTCTCCCCTTTCACTCTGCTCGTCTCTCTCTCTCTCATCTCTCTCTTCTTTCTGCTCTTCTCTCTCCCCCTCTTACTCTACTCTCCTCTCTCCCCCTCTCTCTCCCGCTCTTCCTCTCTACTCTCTCTCTCTCTGCTCTCTCTCTCTCCTCTCTGCTCTCTTTCCCCTCTCTGCTCGCGTCCCTCTCTCTTTCTCCCCCCTCTTTCTTTCCCTCTCTCCTTTCCTATCTTCTGCTTCCCTCTCTCTCTCTCCTACTTCTCTCTCTCTCTCTACTCTCCCTCGCCCTCTCTCTCTCTCCTTCTCTCTCTCTCTTTTCTCCATCTCTCTCTCTCTCTCTCTCCATCTCTCTCTCTCTCTGCTTCTCCCGCCTCCCCCTCTCTCTCTCTCCCTCTATCCCGCTCTCCTCTCGCCTCTCTCTCCCCTCCTCTCTCTCTCCTTCTCTCTCCCCGCCTCTCTCTCCTATACCCCCCTCTCTCTCCCTCTCTCTCTCCCCCTCTCTCTCTCTCCTTCTCCTCCCTCTTCCCCTCTCCTCCCTCTCTTGTTCGTTTCCTCTCTCTCTCTCTCTCTCTCTCTCTTCTCTCTGTCTTCTCTGCTCTTCGTTCTTTCCTCTTCTTCTCTCTCCCTCTCTCGTCTCTCTCTCTCTCTCTCTCACCCCCTCTCTCTTCTCTCTCCCTCTCTTCTCTCTCTCTCTCTCTCTCTCTTCTCTCTCGCTCCCTCTCCCTCCCTCTCTTTCTCTTCCTCTCTCTCTCTCTCCTCGCGCTCTCTTCTGTTCTCTCTCTTCTCCCTCTCTCGCTCTCTCTCTCTCCGCCCCTCTCTCTCTTTCTCTCTCTCTCTCTCTCTCTCCTCCCTCTCTCTCTCTCTCTCTCTCTCTCTCTCTCTCTCTCTCTCTCTCTCTCTCTCTCCCCCTCTCTCTCTCTCTGTACACACGTACGCACGTACGTCCACGTGCGGCCTAGCGCGGCAGACGAGCACCGTCACGTGATACCGTACGCATCAACAAACATCGAGAAGCGCGAGCGAAAAAAATCCGCGAAGAATAAGACTATATACTCTCGCTCACGCTGAGCCGCTGTTCTCTCGGTGAGATTGGCAAGATGAAGCTGCTCTGGCTTACGCGGGAACATTGAAGCAGGCAGGCATTCCTGCTACGGTGCTGAGGATGTATTAGTTGATCTGTTGTTATTTTACATCTGTTGCCGCACCTGTACTTGCTAGTAGAGACCACAGAGATCCTATACTATATACCGTGTGGGATAGGATCAAGAGTGAATAATAATCGATTAGATAATTAATAATGGGTAATTCTATTATCTATTAATACTCGATATTATCAGCGATTAATAATGACAAATTCCTGATATTATTAATATTATTAATTATATATATGGTTATATATTATTTATCGGTTAATAATAATCTATTATTATTCACTCCTGAAAGGATCTCTATGGTAGTGTCGAACCACAATGACACGTTAGTTGGCTGTTAAAGACATTTTTAGATAGCTTAAATAAACAGTCCGTTAATAAATGATGCCGATGGCTAATGGACTCTTGCTGATAGAGTATAATCAAGAGCTCATAGTAGAGACGCTGTATGACTCCATATCATGGCTCTATTATGAGCTTTTAGTATAATATATGACGATGAATCACAGAGGTTACGATGAAACCGTGTGCGTTCGTGCGTACGTGCGTGCGTGAGTGAGTGTGTGTTTATGTGTATGTGGGCGTGCGTTAGTGAGTGTGTACGTGCGCGTATGTGTGTGTGTGTGTGTGTGCGCGCGCATGTGTGTTGCACTGGGCTGTATGTGGTGGTAGGTGTTTTTTTATAGATTGGAATGATGGGATGGATGGATAGATGAGTGAATGTGTAACTGGGCGTATGCGTATGTGCGTGCGTACATGCATGTACGCATGCGTGCGTACGTGTGTGTGTACGTACGTGCGTAAGTGCGTGCGTAGCTTTTTTACAACGCTTAATGTGCGTATTGCGCTCTCATAATTACAGATGAAAACCAGCAAGCTGTCGATCAGTACTGTGAGGGACGAGCACTACAGGCAGTATCGATGTCATACTGAGAATGAGAAGGGAGCTGCAGATGGCTATGTTAAGTTGTCAGGTAAACACACGAGCATACTGCGGGCGCGAATCTCTCAAGGGTCCGGGTTAACGATTTTTAGGCGCAACACCGGCATTGCCTTTAATTTAATCAGAAGTTTAGATTTGGACGAACAATTATTTTTCCTGGAACGAAAGTTTGTGCATTGCCAATGTTTATACAAAGTTTGCCACTATGCACCCTTCGAAGACCTATGTTATATGCATTTCAATTGTGTTTTATGATGTTGTTGTTTTTGCGTGGAAGGTAACCGCGTTATATTTTTGCGTGTCTTGTTTGCAGTGACGAGTGGAGCCATGAAGACACCATTGACTGCACCGTTGGTGTTGGGTCTGATGACGTTGGTGTGGCTGTCGTTATAGCAAGTGTTATCAAGCAGTGGTTTACATCATCAATGTTCATGATCATATCAAGGTACATAGAGAAGTTAACGATTATATTGCAGTCCAGTACTATGAAGTTTGTTAAAGAGAGTTTAGTTTTTTGTAGATTGCAGAGATACAAACTGAAACGTTGACAACATTAATGATCTGATGTTATATGAACTGGCATAATTGTACATTACATCATGGCTGCATGGCATTTGTAAAAAAATACTACCACAATCATTTTCTCGATAGCTAATCATGAAAGCGGTGGAAATGCATGTGAAATTAAGGATCATTCTTTCTCATAGCTAATCATGTACGCAAAGGAAATTAGCGACAATCTTATTATGAGACAGTTAGAAAATTACGAGTGTATGTGATTTGTCAATACTACGTTATTATGTAAGATGAGGTCGCTGATGGGGTATGGCAATGAAATGCCATATATGGCTGTATATTTTACATTATCATTAGCACTAAAAATGTTCATTTGTTAACAAGGTCACTTGCTATTCCCTTGTAGAGGAACGATAGAATGAAAACGTTAAATTCTTTACCATGGGTTTCGTTTTGCCCCCGATTTTTATGTAGGATTAAGCCCTGGTATCCGGCTTGTTTTAGTCATTTAATCAACAAATTTTAGTAAGAACGGAAATGTTTATTGGGAATCAGAAAAGGGTATAAATAATTACTGGAACTGAGATATGGGATACCCCATCAGGACCCCCATAGATGGAAATTAGACTGTTGTTTTGAATGAAGGAAGGCAAAGCCGGGTGTTGAAATGTTGATGGGATATACGACATCTGAATCTCGTGACGCATGGCAATGTTGGCTTTGCCATCGTAGCTTGCCAGCTTGCAGATGATTTTTATACAGTTTTACTTTGCACTTATAACCTGTAAATAGCGTGTTTACACGTAAAAGTTCTATTGTGGAGTGTAAAATCGAGTTAAATGCATCTGGTGCAATAGATTGCGTGTCAGATTCGTATAACTTGTTACAACACAAGCTAGCTGGTATCCGTGTAGCTTCCCCCGCCTATAGTGAGAGCGACGGGCTACACGGATAGAATCAAGCACAAGCTAGATCTGTACTGTTGTGATTGCAATGCTTAGCTATGGTTCTTGTCCGTATATCATGACATACTTGGTATGTACAGTTTATGTCTTGTTTCCGCCAGACGGCATCTTCTGAGTGCAGCCATGGTGCGTTTGTACGTATACGTACTTTTATTACGTAAAATATCTACTGTTGATATACTCTGTACAGTTACAATGTTTTACAACAATAGATGGCGAAAGTGCCGGTATGTTATTGTTGCCCTCAGCTTTACAGGCTGCCCGGCGGGCGGATTTTTAGAGTTGGAAATAGAACTGTAACCGCTTGCGCGGTTTTTAGCCTATGGGCGCTCTCTTCATTTAGAATCTCGAATTGTCATCTGTGTTTTAATACTCATTGTGAGCGGTACCTATGATTTGTATATGTTGCGTAAATGTTTACCTGTTAGCGCGTACGTGGGGCGTTTGGGTTGTGTCATTTTTATGATCGTTTCACCACGCGCTGATATTTTATGGGTTTTAAGCTGCTGTATTGATGAAATGTTTCCACGTTAATGCTGAAACCCATGGTCATAACCTATGGTCATAACCTATGGTATGAAACACATGGTCATACTCTTGTTCTGATCATTAAATAACGTAGAGAAATGTGTGAAGATATTATCGTGAAATTGTTGTTCAGTGGACTAGTGGCGTGCAACTGGTTCTATATTATCATGAGCCTATATTATATAATACTATATTATAGGCTATTGAAACTCTTCATGATACTGTAGTTATATTTTTGTGATATAGAAGGAAACAGCAGCTCGCACTCTCACACACAGAGATGTATTCATGGCTAGCGTATATTTTCACTTTATCCTGCTGATTCAGCAAACGCTATTTTGTATTTTACATTTCTCCGTCCTTAGCTGTTAAAAACTACAGACATCTTCAACGCGATTCTTCATTAAACTATTCTGAATTTCACCTAAAGTCACCTGACTTCATAAACGGTCGGTTTTGATAGATACTATTGGCAAAGTCTGGAAACAGGCAACGCGATAGTGTGTAAATGAAGAATAGAAGTGTAGACCATACACGAGTGACTGTCCATGTAATAATCGTGGCAATAAAATAAAATTTTCGTTTTTTAACTACTATTTGGTTTGGTCTATACGTCATTCTGTTCTTGTTTCTATTACTCTGTGGTCTTTTCAGGAGTCTTGCTTCGTGTGTTCTACCAGCGATATACCAGTAATGTGTGGTTGTGGTGGCTTTGTAGTGTTTGTGGGTAAATGACAAGGAGCGACTATTGATCATTATTGAATAATAATTAATAAGTATAGGACAAAGCATTGAGTAGAAGGCCACTCTTCTATCACAGCCTCGGTTGAGGAGAAAATTAAACGATCATTAGATATTATTATCATGAAAATTTCTGTGCAATAGAAAGATTTGTCTAGAAACGTTATACTGTATTAGTACTGTTAGTAAATGGTAGAATAGTTCACGATGCGACTGTACGTTCGGCTGATATTTATTCCACTGGGCAGCTGTAACGCCTGTAAAGATATGCATATTAAATTAATGCAAAGACATAGCAGGACACAACACGACAGGGCACGGGACAGCAATTCTAGGAGTAAGACACAACAGTAACATGTACTTTAACGCATACCTGTTAGTATAAATATAGGTCACGGGTCAGATATGTTTGTCGTAAATGCGATGGAAAACGCGGTGAATTCTAAATTATTCCTTTATTAACACAAACATGCACATCTGATATTTACACCTTGTCACACATGTACAAACAAACCTCTAATCGTTGTCTGTCACACGCAAAAAGACTGAAGATAGTCATAGCGAACTGTGAATTACTTTGACTCGATGTTCCCGTTATTATAATTACGTAATAAGGCGATTGCATTAAGGCATGATGCAGTTACAAACACGTAACTCAACAGCAGGAGTGTCATAATATATACAGTAGTATAGTATACAGTAGTATAGTATACAGTAATATAGTATACAGTAATATAGTATACAGTAATATAGTATACAGTAGTGGCGCCCGCTGATGTGCACAGTGCTTCCAGTAAATTTTGGGTTAACATTTTTTTTCTACATTTTGTTCCTAAATCTCTCTCGCAAGACTCACCAGATTGCATCTCCAGACGTCTACCATTCAAAAATTTTCAGGGGGGCATGCCCCCACACCCCCCCTAGCATGCAGCGCGCCTGCTTTTTATTATCACTGAGGATTTTATCCTTCTGTGCTTCTACTTTCTTAAGACCTGTGGGCACCAGTCGTATACATTAGTATATAGTATACAGTAGTATAGTATACAGTAGTATAGTATTCAAGTATAGTATAGTATAATAATTATAGTCTATACTATGACACTCCTGAACATAGTAGGTACCTCTACTCTGTAGGTTTATGTATTTGTATCTAGTCATGATATCCAGCCCTCAATCGTTCCGCACCGCTGCTGCGTGCAGATGTGACAAAACGTAAAAACTATTCGCATAATTGACAATTTCACATATTCGCGTATATACAGAAAGTTATCGTTTGGCACATTAATTTATTGAGATTTGAACGTAATTATTAGCGCGTGACTCAATATTCATCCACTACCGAAAAAACGCCCCCACACTTACCCTGTGACTCACATAACTCGACTTCATGCATTCAGACAACATCGATCATCATGTCAACTAGGAGAATGATATCGATGGTACAAATCGCGCGGTGGTAGTTCCTAGTTTATTGTGATCCACTCGATCTTAATTCCGCCATCGAATTGACATCTGGGTTTGTCCGTGACGGGATTTAACCGTTACTACCGGAGATATATCGACGCCAGATCTCCATGGTTACGGGTGTCACTCGCTCGCCGTCTGCTTTTCACGCCATCGCCTCGTAGCTTCGCTCGTCATCTACGCATGCGCTACAGGGGGCGGGGCGCAATTAGGAAGACCTTTGGGCAGCATTGTCATCGGCCACCACTGTAATTACTCGTGTGTAATATATATATATATATATATATATATATATATATATAATACAGGAGTATATATATAGCTCCCTTGTCATGACTACCCGTCGCTTGCCGCCGGCGTCATGTCTTCCGTGGGTTGGTAGACGCGGACTACCTCGCTGTTCACACCCTAATGATACGCCCTGCTGAGAGTAGGCGTGGGGAACCCTACAGCTACCTGATTATAGCTAAACCGCTCCCGTGAATCACTGACAGCAGGAGAGACATCTCTGTCTCATGTAGAGATATCCCTGTCTCAACTGTAGAGACATCTCTGACTCATCTGTGGAGATATCGCTGTCTCGTATGTAGAGATCTCTGTCTCGACTGTAGAGATATCTCTGACTCACCTGTAGAGATATTGATGATTCATCTGTAGAGACATCTCTGTCTCATCAGTACAGATATCTATGTCTCACCTGTAGATCAATATCTGTCTCCTCTGCAGAGACATTGATGTCTCACATGTAGAGACATTGATGTCTCAACTGTAGAGACATATCTGTCTCACCTGTGGAGACATATCTGTCTCATCTGTAGAGATACCGCGGCTCCTTCCGCTCGTAGTTGCAGCACCGGTAGATGCAGTACGTCACTACGACAATGAACAGCACGGCGACGGCCGACACTGCTCCCAGCAGCAGATACAGCAGACTCTGATCACTGTCGCAGTCTCCGCCGCTCTCGTCGTCTAAGAACAGCTCGAGGCTCTTGCGTTCCTCGACCATGCTGTGTTCGCTCGTCGCGCGCGCGTCCGGACAGTTGCGGATGCCGTTGCAGACGAGCTCGCGAGCGATGCACGTGCGTCCGTCGGGACACTCGAAGTCGCAGTCCTGGTTCGTCACGCGCAGGATGTCGTCCTTGCGTTGTCGCGTCACCTTACGCGACACTTCCGACCAGAGGATGTGAAAGCGACCGGCCGGGTCGTCGGCAACCATCTCGACGATGACGCGATGCGACGTCGTCGGCGTCGACGCCATCTCGTGTTCGTCCCAACCCTTGGAGAAGATTTCCGGTTGGAAATTCCCGGCGCATACTTCGGCGTAGGGCACCGACGCGTTGTACTCGTAGAATCGCAGACGATTCGTTTCGCAGCGGCCCTGGAAGTAGAAATCGAGGAAGCGGAGGTAGACGAATCTTCCCGCCGACACGGATATTGTCCAGCGACATCGCAGCGATGACGTCACGTTGGGCGAGAACAGCAGGCCCTGGCGGCCGCGGAAGCTCGCCTGCCCGCCGCAGTCGAAGACGACGAACTCATAGGTGGCGCTGAAGTTGAACGTGCGCGAGTCGTCGCGCACGGTGATGTTGGCGATCTCGAAGAAGACGTCGACGGTGTGCGTCAGCGACGTGTAGCCGACCGGGTAAAGCTCCGAGCCGGAGTTGCACAGACAGACGGTGTTCGAGTGCGACCCGTCGACGATTGTCAGCGTGTTGACGTCGGCGTCGCGACCTTGCAGCGACAGACAGCGCCCCTCGGCGGTGCGGTCGCAGCCGCGGTAGTTGCGCAGGTGCAGTTCGTGAAGCGTGATCTTCAGACGCTCGAAGGAGAGACCTCTGAACGTGTACTTACAGCGCAGACGTGTGTTCCCGCCCGGACCGTAGAAGAGCGGGTTCGTCGGCGAGGAGAAGTTACCTCGGCGACGCGTCGCCGCGCCCCAGCTATCGTAATGCACGTTGCAACTACCGGCCGTATCGTCGGCCGACAGCGAGCCCTCGGCGACCGGTCCGGGCATCGCCGAAGCGAAGTGCGTTACGGTGGTGTTTATGAACTCGTACATGATCTTGTATTCGAATTCGTCGCCCGTCAGCGACCCGCGCGTGCCATAGAAGGCGAGGAGGTAGTCCGATCCGCTCGACACGTACCTCTGATCGCGTCCGCATCCTTTCTTCTCGCCAAGCTGCGTCTCCTGCGGACACAGCTTCGGGCGACTGTGTCCGCAGAAGACCGCCTCGAGTTTGTACCTGTCGGCCCGCTGTGCGTCGTAAAGCGTGATGTTCGTCGCGCACGAGTCGTTGTAGACGGTGTCGAACGACGTGAAGTAGAGGAGAACGCGCTGGTTAGGAAGTCCGGCGAACCGGAACGTGCAGACTGTTCCAGGCGGGTACCAATGATCGACGCTGTTCAGCTGACCGGAACTGATCATGCTTCCGTAGAAGATCCAATCGCATTTGGCGTTCACGATCCTTGAGCTTGGCACGCGGTAGAAGTTTGGCACGAAGTGCGAGCGGAACTGGAAGCCGTTGTCAAGGAAACGACCGTCGCGCGTCGACGCAAACTCGACGACCATGTGCTTACCGCTGGAGACGACGTCGGGGACTTGACCCTTACCGCAGAAGGTCCCGATGACGGTGGCAGCCGTCGTCTCTCCGTCGTAAAATCGCACGTGGTCGCGTCCGTCGCAGTCGTCGCGTGTCAACACGGCCGTAGTGTCGCAGAAGTAGGGGTCGTCGCAGGGAGGTCCGCCGACGACAAACAGAGCTTGATTAGAGATGCGTACCTGGTTGTCCATGCCGTCCCACATGAGGTGATAGCGACAGGTAAGGTTACGCGGGTAGATTCCCGGGAAACCCGGCGACAGCACGAGACAGTTTCGCGCCGAGTCGCAGTTGATAAACTCCATGTCGCAGTACGTCGCGTCGACGTGGCGCCCCCTGTCGCCGACGCCGAATTTGCCGAATCGCACCGACGCGTCCTTCTTCGTGTATGTGCGGTAGCGCAGTTGAAGGAGCACGTTATGGTCGTACTTCGGCGTCGAAAACACGAGCCGTATCGACTTTGTCTCCGAGTAGAAAAAATGCGGTCGCTGCGGATTGCCGCAGAAGTAACCCGGATGTTGGCGATTGTTCTGGCGCGCGTCGTAAACGCCATCTATGATCTGCATGAAGCCATTCTCGCACTTTCCGCTGTCGGTGTACGTGCCGACGTCCATGCTCGTCACTTCTAGTCCGATGATGTCGCCCTCGTCGTTCGGATGGATGAGAAAGTCGTAGAAGCAATACAAGGGTCTGCCCTTGTTCGCCTCCGTAACCACAGGGCTCGATAGCGTCTCCGTAAACTTGTTTGCCCAGATCGTTTTATTGCACCCTGTAAAAAAGGAGAAGCGAGAAGGGAGCTTTTACGACTGTTATGAGAAGAGAGGGCGATACAGCTCGCGCACAGACGGAGAAGCAAAAAGATGAGCAATAATGGGGATGCATACATCTTCACGAGATAGAGAAACGCTTGCCGTGTAGTGTGTACGTATTTACGTAAGCGCAAAAGACTGTTTAGATACTTAGGTGTGCTATATTGAAAAAACACGTGTGTTGGATTATACGCACTGAATGCCTGGTGGTTAATAAACGCGCATGCTCGCCAGCGTGCACGCATGCACGCGCGCACGCAGGCATGTATGCGCGCACACGCAGCTGTCTCATATGTATATACATATATACATACATACATACATACATACATACATACATACATACATACATACATACATACATACATACATACATACATACATACATACATACATACATACCACGTAGCGCACGCACACACACACACACACACACACAC